ATGATTCAGTCTAGAGCCAATTCTGAGAAAAAGAGCAGACAAAATGACCCTTAAAAATCAGCAAATCTACGATTTCTCCGAACCAGAAGTGATGTCATCAAAACAAAAAAAATCATAAGGTATTAGTGATGTTGCATAAGTCCTAAAAGTTTAATGTAAACCCATTCAAGTTTTTTTTTTTTTTTGAGAAATTAAGTGCAAAAATATGTATGTAAAAAATTTATTTCCTTGGCAGGAAATTTAGGAAAAGTATTTCCTTGTGTGCAATGAGGTGCCTTCTATAGAATTTTTGATAAAATGAGATATGGATTTGACTGAGATTATCCTTCGTAAATAATGTTACAAAAGTAGGCTAGCTTTGAGTTCTGATATTTTGAGAACATTTTTCTGATCATGAACTTCTGTAAGTCATAATCAATAATGCTTTTTTAAATGTTTCAAGTGTAGAGAAATGAATGCATATTTTCACTTCATTCATGTATACCAACATATTGATCGATGAAGAGATACAGACTTAAAACTTTCGGCCCCCTACAACAACCAGAATTTAATGAGTCAGTCTTTTTTTTCTTTTTTTTTTAATATAGAAGAAAAGGTTTCACAATTCTGTTTTTTTGGGGTTCAACAACTATTCAGAATATTCATTTTATTTCGAGATGTAGAATAGAAATATTTCGGGCTAGTCTTCAAGTCCATAATAGGGCTGTTTCGCAAAATTTGAGGAAGGATTCTGAAAAAAAGTGAAGATAACAAACAATGACCGGTTTCAAATAAATCTACAATACAAATTTGTGAAAAAGGCATAAAACACAGACCCCTCGAAATTCCAAAGGTGGGGTCAGTTTCCTATAGGAGGAGATTTATTGATGTCAAAGGAGGAACTTTTTGAAGAACTATTCAAAATTTTCTTTTTGTGTCCGATATAGGTAGAATAGAAATTTGTAGGTGTCAGCTATACAAGTCCTAAATTGGACCATTTAACAAAAATTAAAAAGGATGAATATTGTAAAAAACATTATTCTGAACATCTTTTCTTTCAATATTGATTTTAATAATATTTCCCCTTTTTGAAATATAAAGCATTAAACATTTACCCCATTGGCCCCTTAATGAACCTTAATTACGTAACATATGATCAAAGTTTATACTACATGCATGTAGTTGCATATTGTTAAGATAAACATTTTTGATTCAATTATTTATAACAAAATAATGACCTTTAAGGAGATAAATATGAAAGTCTTTTAGCCCCTCTTTGGCCCTTTATTGAAGGTTCTTCCTTTTTTCCTGATATCTTGTAAAAGTTCATGTCATTGTGCTTTTGTTTTGTTCAATATGCTTGTACAAGATACTTGAGTTGATTTGATGTTATAAGTAATATGTCAAAATTTATTCATAATTCGTGTTCTAAATTTTGACCTCTAGCGACTCAACTAGGTTAAGGATGCCCAAAATAAAAACCACATATCTTTTACTATATTTTTATATGGATTAATTGTTTAATTACATGAAAATATGGGGTTTCTATGGTGCAAGCATTTACTGAAAAAACGTCAGAGATACTCAAGCTGTAGAAAGTTGATTAGGAAGTGCCATAAACATCCTAAAATGACATAAGATGCAGGCTTTAAAGATTCAATTTCTGTTGAATAAAATGCATGTACCGGGTAATAAAATGCATGTACATACATCTAGTGTCTTTATCACGAAGTTGCACATGCCTGAAATAATTGTAATTTCTTTTTAATCCAAAATACATATATGGAACTTAATATTGATAAAATAATTAATCGTACTACTTTTAAAAATGAATTAGATTCAATATGCCACCCGTTTTCAGGAATATTTAACGAAGCATAGTGACGTGTTTCTATATTGATTGAAATATTTGTCCATATAAACGTATTTAATATACTTAATACTACATGCACTTATTTGCAAATTGTATTACTATTTTCTAAATGACATCGCAACATTTGATATACAGCAATCCATATAGCTTGATACAGGCCTGTAGCATAGTTTTCAAGCGAAGAGTGGGATGGGGGGCTCCAAAATAAACCTGCGTGACTACGGGTCGATCTGTGCTGCATGTGTATCTTTCCACTGATAGAATCTTCCGCACGAGTCCCAAACACCTAAACAAGTCCCAGCTGTTAAAGGTTGCCGAAGATAGCCTGATTTTTATTTAAAAAAAAATAAAAATAACGATAGACCTATCAAGGATAGAATTTAATATTAATTTTGTGCTATTAAACTACTATCAGTCAAAGAAGGCAGACCATTGTCAAAAATGTAATTGTGAATGTAACTGGGTTAACCTGTTTCACCTTTCAGAGTAACCAATAAACTCGTCCAAGGATGCATTGACGGCCGCTGTAAAACTTACCTGAGATTCCTATGCAAAGGAAAGCGCGAAATCTCAGTACAGAATCTCAGTATAGAATCCGACATGTAACACTTAATATCTATTTTCAGGGTGTGCTTCTTTCCTTTGTTATTAGAGTAGTAAGAATATTACTTATATTAACCGCGTCAATTCCTTTTGTTGGCATATTGAAGGAAACATGGGAGTCCTTTACCTAGCTGCGTAGCTTCCATACTGAGAAATTTTGAAAACCAAGGTGCGCCACAGTAACATATCTTCTATAATCGCTTAGATTTTAAATCTTCAGCCTAACCCGTTTCAAGTTAATCGACTGTTTAAATATTAACCTTTAAAGATTTATGGTCGATTCAAGGGCCTTTCAGCAAATACAAGGCTATTTTTTACACACTAAATTGTCTATTATTTCCGTTTTTCCCGATCATGATAAGGAGCAGTTGGCGGGTGTGACCGGTCGGCAGGGGATGCTCGCTCCTCCATGGTTCCTGATCCCCCCTTTGATGTTTTTGGAGGTCCATGTTTGCTCTGTATCGTCCAAATGGCTTTTGTGCTTAAATACTGTTCGTTATCTTCACATTTCATTAAATAGTGGTGAATCAAAAATACATTTTATTATGCCATCTTTGGTATTGTTTTATTTGCTTCTTTAAGAAAAGAAGTCAATAATCATATCCTTTTTTTCTTAATATTAGTTCATGTATCAAGAAAGATTGTGAAGCACATAGATTTAAATATATTTATATTAATGCAATAAGTATTTTGATAGCCCAATTGCCCATTAAATTGCTTATTTCTTTCCATAATCCTCTCATCACTAGAGCACCATATCTTATCCTCCTTCAATGAATAAAAAGTCTGTAAAACAGTCTGTCGTGTGTTGCCACCTTTGTGACGTTTAATAATTTGCTTGAAATTCTCAAAAGTATTATTAACAATGGCATATAATTTTAGCTGACACAAAATATAAATATGAGAAATAAACTAATTTTGTAAAGGGAGATAATCCAAATTTCCAGTAATTACAACTTAGACTTAACAGAAAAATCATGAAAATGGGTCTGAAAACGCCACTGACTTGACCGCACTAGGGAAAGATCAGACCCATGAAGAAAAATGGCAACACACATCAAACATTAAACAATATGGGAATAAACATATGTCCCATAATGCAACAAAACCCCATCTGTTCATGAGACTTATAGGACAAGATAATGTATCATCTATTACAATTCAATTATAATAAAAAATAATAATAATAATAATTTTCCCCATGTTCTATGAGGGATAGACATATGCCCCCATAATAACAAAATCTGAAGATAACTGTTAAAAGGGATGCATTTCATATGCCCTTCTGAGTATTAACAAATGACTCAGGGACTGATGTGCCTGATAAGGGATAAACATATGCCCCAATATTCACAAAGCATCACATTCCTCGCCGTCTTTTACCAAGTTCACACGTGTGTAGACTCTTCATCTATCAGCTTGAAGTATTAATAATTGACTTATTAAGCAAAATGTGCCTGGTGAGGGATAGACATATGCCCCCATATTGAAAATACATCACACTGTAAATTACATTGCTGTCTTTTTCCAAAGTTTATATGTGCGCAGTCTTGTCACCTAACAGCCTAAGTATTAACCAATGACTTAAGCACTATTGTTCTGGATGAGGGATAGTCGTATGCCCTCATATGTTAATATTCCTGAAAATCACTTTGAAAACAAGATCCTCAATGAGTAACAAAAGATCTGCCCTGAGGCTCCATTTCCACTCAAGCATATATCAACATGGTGTCACATTTCTAATATAAGATTTAAATGCATCCGATTTCCATCTACCCAGGAATCTAATCTGACTATCACTCATCCCCCTTGATGCACAGTAAGAGGCCATCCCAATTCGAAAGGAATGTCCTTTGAATCTATTGACATCTAAATTACAAAACATGAGACTTTGCTTTAATACATTTGAAAATTCTTGCCTTGTGACTGCAATGTTTGGGGGGTAGCAAAAAAGGGGCCCATCACCCCTCCCTCTCATTTTCAAGTAGTGTTCTAATGCCTCAACAGGACAGTATTTTAAACAATTGCAGGAATTAATTGTAAGAGTAAAAACTTTACCGCCTGAATGTTTATAATTTTGAAAGTGAATCAAAACCTTGCTTATCTGAAAAGTAACTTGTGACATTTGTAAGACATGATTAGCAGTGCAAACTGATGTTATTTCTCCTATTCTGAGGAAGCCATGGAAAGCCAATAAAAACATTGCTTGAAATAATACTTTTTTATATATGTTTGCTACTGTATGTTCTAATGCATCACAAATTTTATGTAGAACTACTATGGTTATTGGTAAACGAATATCCATTGAAGGTCTCGTTTTGCGACAAGAACTTAATAGTTTTTGAACAAGGAAGCATGACGTATTGTCAGGCAAGTTATTAATTCTATGTATATATGCTATTGATGAAATAAATGACACAATGGAGGAGGCTGCATAACCTTCAGCAAATAAATAAGAGATAAACAAAGCCAAAGTATCCTGAGACAATGGAAGATCATTACTGATATTAAATTTGGTCGCAAAATTTCTATAAATAGACCATGCCCGTTTATATGCCTGAGTGGAAGCTGGTGCCAATGTTGAAGTCAACAGGTTCCTCAAGACTGGTTCTAAGGTGGTAATGCTGGCAGCTGAGGAATCACCATTGGTTCTTTGTCCATCCAAGGAGCCAGTTGATGGAATTGCTGCACCTTCAAACGAGACAAGCAGTCACATAGAATATTTTCTTTGGTACCAAGATGCCTAGCTTGAAACAAAATGTTAGACTGCAAACAAATGAGCACTAACTCTCTTACGAGATACATTATATGTTTATCCTTAGACGATTGCTTGTTAATGATATGCACAAGGGCATAATTGTCTGTGTAAAAATAAATACACTTATTTTTCAAAATATGACTCCACACCTTAAGAGCTAACACTATTGGATAAAATTCCAAGAGAGTAATATTAGATTTTTTCCAATTATCATTCCAAGTCCCATAGAACCAGTGCCCACCTAACACTGCCCCATAACCAATGGATCCTGAAGCATCTGTATACAATTTCAATTCATTAGAATCTACCCACCTATCAGGTAAGAAAACTGACCTACCATTAAATTGTTCCAAGAAGGCTAACCAAGTATGCAAATCTGCTTTTACCTCTTTGTTTAGTCTAATGCGATAATATGGTCTTGTTATGCCAATATTAGTATTGATAAGTCGCCTTAGAAATGCTCTTCCTGGCAAGACAACATTACAAGCAAAATTAAGAAGACCAATTACTGATTGCATATCCTTCAAAGTAATCTTTTTGCTTGGTAAAAGCTCCTCAATTGTATCCCTACATTTTTTAACTTTAGCAATAGGTAGTCTTGCCTCCATCATCTCAGTGTCTAATTCATAACCCAGAAAAGTCATTACCTTGTGAGGACCGAATGTTTTATCCTTAGCCATTGGTATACCAATGTCAGCACAAACTGTTAAGAATGCCTCAAGTTTTTTGTGGCATCCTGTAGCAGATTTGTCAACAATTAGAAAATCATCTAATACATGAGTCATAAATTTAATACCTAATTTTTCCTGAGCTATCCACTGAAGTGCCGTACTAAACCTTTCAAATATCCGACAGGAAGAACTGCAACCCATCTGAAGACATGTATCAAAATACCATTGACCTTGCCATGTGAAACCAAAGTATTTAAACTGTGATGCATGTAAATTGATAATTCGAAATGCATTGGAAATATCTGTTTTGCAACAATATGATCCTTTCCCACACTGTTTAATATTTTGAATAGCATCCTCTACAGAAGAGTATTGAACAAATGACTCCTCTTCAGGTATGCCATCATTGACAGCCTTACCTTCTGGATATGACAAATGATGTATCTTACGGTACTCACCCTCTGTTTTCTTGCTAACTAGACCTAAAGGGGAACAATGTAAAACTGGCATTGGCTTTTCTATGAAAGGACCCATAATTCTACCCAAATGTATCTCCTTCTCTAACTTCCTGCTGATAACCTCTGGTAAGTCCTGTGCTGATTTTAAGTTTTTTGAAAGAATATTTCTAATTTCCCCTGTGTATCCAATGCTAAAACCATATTTAAACCCATTAACTAAAAATTCTGTTTCTACTTTATCATACCCCACCAACCAGTACTCTAACCTATTGGGATTTACCGGCGTAGGACCCTTTTGTGGGATAAGTTGCTTTTGAGGATTTAGAATTACCCGTGTTGGTTGATGTCCCATTTCCCTGAAATAATTTCTGGGTTCTGAATTTGTCCAAGAAACGAAATGGCCGTTGAATAGTTTTTTTACATGAATAGATTGGATGCATGCCACCACAGTTAAAGCATCTGTGTTGGAATTTGCATGTAGCACCTAGCCTACAATACTTTTCAGCTTTGTGATATGCAAAGCACACTCCATGAGGGACTTCCTCATACCTGCTAAATGTCGACCGGTCTGATGTTATTTTGGTTAACTTTTTTTCAGATTGCTTGAGGCGAGCATTGACATATATCTCCATATGGACATCACCCCATTCTACCTCACCTTGTTCTATGAGTTCCCTGAACTCCTTATCATATCTTCTCCAATCCCCCTTTTCCTCTGCAATTTGCCTAACTGATTCCATATGTTTTGCAAGCTTTGGCTGTGCAAGTGTATCTTTAATGCAATAAATTGTCGCATACCTATTCCATGCAGTTACCCAGTCATGCAGGGATAATGAGCCATCCCTAAATTCATCATCATCTGTGGACTGCATATTGTGAATTACCACCTTACCTGTCTGATCTTGTTCTTCCACTTTGATAGAATACTTACTTTTTCCCTTTTCCTTTTTTAACAACAAAGCCATATCAACATATTGTTTTGACCAAATTTTAGATTTGATTTTGTCAGAAACCCTTGCCTCTATTGGCACTGAGGAGCTCACAAATCCCGATTTCTTACCTGCATTTTCTACAGGTGGGAATTCAGTACCCACAATCTGTGAACTGTGTTCGGCTACAACATTTGATACCAAACCTGAAATACCTGCATCCCCTGACTTATTCATTGTGTGGCCCTCCAACCCAGGAGGGCTTGCTGCTAAGCTGTTGCTTGCAGAGGTGGTAGCATTATTACCCTGTTTACCCCCCATATTATGAACAGAGATACTCCCCTGATGTTGTAGCAATGGTTGTATCTCTGCTAGCACGTTCTCTGTGACTGACTTTGTTATGGTTTGGGTTAATTCAGCTAAGGTTTCAGGGGGTACACTGAGGGGTGGAGTGCTTGTATCGCTTGCCACAGCATCAGTAGTGGTGGGCCCTCTCGTTTCCTTTTGGCCACGACGTGGTCTTTTCGCCTGACTTGTTTTGGGCTGCTGGGATTTATTCCTTTTTCCTGGCATAATGTTGGTAAACCTATAGAATTGTAAAATTGAGGCAGAAGTATATTTCCAATATTTAACATAATAAAGGTCTAAATGTCAATTGACCGGAACTGCACGAGTCAGATCAGATACACCAGTACCATGACCACGCATATAAGCATGTTAATACTTAAAATTACATTATATAAACACTTGAATGCATCGAATACAAAGTAATATAAGCCTAAATATCAATATTGACCAGGACTGCGCGAGTCAGATCAGATGTATAAGTACCTTGAGTCCTTGACCACGTATGCGATCATGTTAATACTTAAAATTACATTGTAATGATTGTATAACCACTTGAATGCATCGAATACAAAGTGTACATCCTATTAAACAAACGAGAAAGTTGTATAACCTGAGACTGTTTCCAACAGTCACTTTCCGTTAAATTACACCCTGTACTTATCTACAGTTGATGACAAAATTCATCCCGGAAATGTCACAATAAAGAATAGAACCAATATTGTTCTGAAACAGACAAACATTTCCCGCACTACTGTATAGCAAATCACACCACTCATTGTGCGACTGCAGTAGCCATTAATCAACTTCTCTGGAATCGCTGCTGGTCAGTAAGAACTAGCAGCCACATAAAACAGAACGCTGACATCAGTAATAAATCACCACTTTTGAAGTCGATTCACCCCGTGCCGTGTCAAATTCCAAAGTAGGCTGTAGTGCCTTTACCAAAGACAACTATGGATTGTTAATTGTTTCTTAAACAAGCAATAAAACTGATCATGGTGGTCCTAAAATAATCGAAGCAGATATAATTCACAAAGAAACGCCGTCCAAACACTCAAAATCATACTTTTAAATAAAGCATCTATAATCAATAAACCTAAATGTATTTTTTTTTTTTTTTTTTTTTTTTTTTTTTTTTTTTTTTTTTTAAACGAGTGATAGGCATATTTTACGATAAATCTAAGAATAAAAAACGTGAATCATTGATGGAACAAAAACATGTGCATGATATATTATAAATGTAACAAGGGGACAGCGAATACAGAACGGAATTTAATTAAGTAATCAACAAATACCGCAACAAACAAATTGGCAAACATCCATTTTCCGAACGATTTCTTCACAGAAAAAAGGATAATTAAGGAACTAAAACGAAAACCCAAGCGGGTACAAATGGCAAGTACAATGACTGCCTGAAACTTGTACTTAGGCCTTGCCTAGAGTACTGTAAAATTAAACAGTTTTAGTAATCAACTAATACCGTAACAAACAAATTGGCAGACATTTCTCCAACGATTTTCTTTCACAGAAAAAGGATAAATCCGGAACGCATTAATTAAAATACATTCCTAGATAAATCAAATAAAATCGATAGAAAAATCGCCAGGGTAAAAGCTGAAACTAAAACGAAAAAACCCAAGCGGGTACAAATGGCAAGTACAAAAGACTGCCTGAAACTTGTACTTAGGCCTTGCCTAGAGTACCGTAAAATTCAACAGTTTTAGTAATCAACTAATACCGTAACAAACAAATTGGCAGACATTTCTCCAACGATTTTCTTTCACAGAAAAAAGGATAAATCAGGAACGTATCAATTAAAATACATTCCTAGATAAATCAAACAAAATCGATGAAAAAATCGCCAGGGTAAAAGCTGAAACTAAAACGAAAAAACCCAAGCGGGTACAAAATGGCAAGTACAAAAGACTGCCTGAAACTTGTACTTAGGCTTTGCCTAGAGTACTGTAAAAATTCACAATATTTTAGTAGTCAACTAATACCGTAACAAACAAATATTGGCAGACATTTCTCCAACGATTTTCTTTCACAGAAAAAGGATAAATCCGGAACGTATTAATTAAAATACATTCCTAGACAAATCAAATAAAATCGATGGAAAAATCGCCAGGGTAAAAGTTGAAACTAAAATGAAAAAACCCAAACGGGTTTAAACTGGCAAGCACATTGAATGCCTGAAACACATACCTAGGTCATGCCTATAGTACTGTAAAAGCCACAAATTTTTTAATACTGAATTTCACACATAAAGGTTGAAATTAAAATGAAAAAGGACAATGATTGGCAAGCCAATATCTGGTAAGCAGAGTTAATTTTTTTTTTTTTTTTTTTTTAATTTATTCTTCTTATTATTACTATTTTTAAAATATATAATTAATTTACAAAAACTGAAAAATTTAAGCATGTTACATATACCCTATCCAAATGATTTTGAACAAAGGAAAAAGTGACAATCCTGTTCCATTTTCTAGAAACTCTATTTTCTCGCTGAAATTAACGCTCCCCTTATACTCCTATATAAATGTACATTCCCTTGTTTGTTCAGATGAACTCCGTCGCATACAAATTTCCGACTACAATCTCCTTCACTGGGAGAAACAAAATAATTCCCGTGTTCCCAAAAAACACAATAACCTAGTGATGGCAATGCACCTCTCAATATTGCATTCACTCTGTCTGCTACATCATTGTACTCAAAATTAACCTTAGATCTTGGCAATAATTTGCAAACAATTATTTTCGCAACATTATAGCGGCGATGCATCACCGATACCACAGTTTCAATTTCTGCGGCCAACAATGTAGGATCTGTACTGGGAACGATGTCGTTCTCCCCGATCATTAAAACAACTACCTCGGGACCTAAAGCAAATACACTCTCCATATCCTTAGATATTATATCGCGAACCTTCCTTCCACCCACACCCCTGTACAAAACGGAATGCGTTTTTCCCAGACCAAGATTTGCAGAATATCTAATGTCATCACCATGTTTCAAGAATTCGTGAAAACGACGCACAATTGAATGACCAAGAATGACAACCGAAGTTTTGCACATTGAAGACATGATAAAATAATTTTACTCACCAAGTACTTGATAAAATAAATAACAAACTTGAAAAAACGTCCGTCCTCCAAGGCTGTAGGTGGGAGAAGAGGCAGAGTGACGCACCGCGTGGCCGAAATGTTAAATGTTTGATTTTGATTGGTCAATCTCTGCCTCTCCTAAGACATGAAACAAAATAACCATTATAATACATCACGATACAATATATCAGACTTGAACATTCAAGGAGGACACTTATTGATTACAATAAAAAATTTTAAGTAAACTTAAATTTATATTGAATGAGGAGCAGTGATAACATGGCAGCGAAAATACTACATTTATCTAAATAGAAAAAGAAAATGAGCTTCTGTAATTGGCTCTTTTATAGGGCTGGGTATCGGCTGGAATTTTGTATTGCGATATCTTAAACTGTATCGCGATATGTATTGCAATATTTTTAATAACAGTTAAAATGATCTTTTCTTATTTTATTAACCTTGATTTATAATCCGAGTGAATAAAACTAAATGTGTGTTATAAATACCTTGTAGCAGAAAAAAAAGTTCTTGTCGATTTCTCTTCAGTTTTGCAACGAAATACAAACATACAACAGTAACCTTATTGTTTGGCATGATTGAAAGCGTTTCTGGCATCTTAAATGTCGCAATTTACTTTAGAAATCCCAAGCTTAAGCATTTTACCGATATACCGGTACTTGAAAATCATATCGATATACTATCCGATATTTTTTGTTAATGAATCGCAATATACCGGAATATCGATATTATTGCGCAGCCCTAATCTTTTAGAAAAAATGAAAAAGAGGACAGAATTGTATTGCTTAAGACCCAGTTTTCCAGAGTACGGGTCGCCCGCGTGGCGCAGTGATTAGAGCGGCTGCTCTAGAGTTGCGAAGTAAGGAGTTGATCCTTACGTCGCGGGTTCGAATCCCACTGTGGGACGTGGAGACCGGTCCTTCGGAAGAGACCGTATAAACCGAGGTCCCGTGTTGCAATAGGTTCTGGCACGAAAAAGATCCCTCACTACTCACCGTAAGTGCCGAGTATAGGGCAAAATTTGCAGCTCTCCACCGGCAAGTGGTGGCGTCTCGATATGAGTGAAAAATTCTCGAGAGGGACGTTAAACAACATACGATCAATCAATCTAGAGTATGGTTACCTGAGGAGGGGGAGTGGTCTTAGTAGTGTTGGTGTTATTTACCTTGAGAGCCCCAGTACTCAAGATGTCAAAAATCCATATGCACATTGTATTACACATGGAATCTGTATTTGATAATTAGGATCAACATAACGCGTTTCTGGTCTTATTTTGAGTGAAACTACTGTAAATAATTTATATACTTAAATATAAAATTAGTCAACGTTTTCATCGATATCTTTTCATTAAAGGATAAAATAATTGATAATAGAAATATCACTAAAAAAAACTCACGCTTGAAAACTAAAAAAGTAATTAAATCAATATTTTTTTTCGTCAGTGAACGAAATCATTATGAATTAAGTGTAAATATTGAAATTAAAAGAGTCCATTTATCGTGTGACTAAACCATCGGAATATTATTTATTTCTCTGACCAACAGTAAAGACCAAATTATTTACTTCTGCAATTTCCGGGGGTCCGTGTTTTTATGCCTTGTTCACAGATTTGTATTGTTGTAGACTTTTTTAAGATTGATCAATATTCGTTATTTTCACCCTGTTCATTACGAATATATACGTTTGAGTAAAATTCGAACAATGATTATGACATTTCATCCACAGCATGGAGTAGATTAATTGTTTTATTTTTTTGTAATCTGTTCTATTTTTTAAGGAAAAAAAATTGAATGACATCCCCAAAATGCAGTTTAAAGGTAAAACCTTAACCAACTTTATACTAAGAAAATTTGTCGCCCGCGTGGCGCAGTGGTTGGAGCGTCTGCTCTAGATCAGAGGAGTAAAGAGGTGATCCTTTCTCTGCGGGTTCGAATCCCACTGCGGGACTTGGAGACCGTTCCTTCGGATGAGACCGTATAAACCGAGGTCCCGTGTCGCAGTAGGTGTTGGTGTAGAAGTTTATTGTGACGTGGATGAGCCAGGAAACCAGGCTACTACTACTACAGGAACTTCTTCCTCTCCGGATCCCAGTCCAAGTAATTGAAGGAGAAAGGGCTGGAATAGCCTCTAGTTATCTTGGACGTCATATCACATACAAGTACCAAGGCAGTGGACATTGAAAACGTAATTTTTGAATTAAGTCAAGATAAAATTATCTTCTCTCGGTTATTTTTTGAAATATAATTACCAACCAATATTACAGCGATTTGATTTTGTTACCAGAGTGTATACAAAGCGGCTTTTCACGCGGTACATGAAAACATTTGACGTGTGACTAGGTAATCGTTTACAAAACATGCAACGTCTAGCAGTAGGATTCAACTCCTTATTTAAATTAAGGGCT